TCAAAAAGTTGGGAAAAAAGCGTCATGCGGGGCTGAACGAGATCTGCAGGCGTTCAAACAGGAATTCGTTCAGGGACGTGCTCTAGGCTGCGCGATGCAGGAAGTCAGCTTGGATTGTCCCCACCTTGCCTTGGAATGTGTGAATTTCTGGCTCTATGAAATCTTGGAATCGATGAATTTCTGGCTCTATGAAATTGTCACAATGAAACAATTGACCTTTTTCAAAACAAAAAAACATTTTTAAGGTTTTGTTTTGTGGCTGAAACAATTGGCCAAAATCGACAAAATGTCACAAAATGTTTCGGTTCAGCCAATTCTGCGTTTTTTTGCCGAAAAAAGTTTTGGTTGAAAATTTTTGCCTCGCACTAATTGACACCAACACATTGTCATTGCTAGTGTTCCACACGCATTTTGCACTAGTGTAAATAACAACACAAGGTGCAAGTCGAGGGGGAACGAGGCCTCAATGGACCTTCATTGCTTAAGGTAAAGTTGTAACTCCACTAGGTGGTTGCATTGTTAGGCTTTTATCCTCTACTAACCCCTGAATGAGAACAAAGTTATACCTTGTCCTAGAGCAGATTACACGGGCACAATTAGAGTTGGCCCTTTTTTGAATGACAAGCTTTTTTTCTCTGAAAATTGGTCTTTTTAAAGAAAATGATACTTTTTGCGGAAAATGGTATTTGGCAAAATTTTCCATAACACTTTTCACTGATATTTGAACTAAAATGTTGTTGAGGTTTGACTCAAAATGATTCTAGAAATGCTTCGTTTATTGAAAGGTGTTTTCAGCCCATTACAGTACCAATGAGCTCTGAAATCATGCAGCAGTGGCCAGGTGTAACCAAGATCAGTAATTGCACTTTAGCCTAATGGTAAGGGTTGGTTGAAAATTTTTCACTGACGTTGTTTTCTGGACTGAAATTGGGCTTTCGACAAAATGAAATTTTTCACAAACAGCGTCTGTTTTCTGCCAAAAACGTAGATTTTCCTTGAAAAACCCAAGAGCCCCCAAAATGAAATCTTTTCTTTCTGGAATGCTGCTGCAGTGATGCCTCATGGGAGTTGTAGTTCAGGTGCATCGCACTGCCATTCTCCTCTATAGACTGGGCTCTCTAGTCGAACTTCATCTCCCATGGTGCAGCGCCTGCTGTGGTGCCCAGCACTCCCTCACCAAGAGGGAAAACCATGGTACATCATGGGAGATTGTGATGTTCCCCTCTGCTGTTATCTGGACCGGTGATCTGCTAGGTCACTCCAATTCTTGAATCTGGGAGCCAGCCTCACCCTGCTCTGCTGTGAGGACCCCCACTCCTGGGCTGTTCACGCACAGCCTCTGGCATGTAACTGCTCCTTGGATTGTGCAACCGAATGACACTAGCCAATATCTCCAGTCCCAGACACAACCCTTGGAACCTCCATCTTGCAGTTTCCGGTTATGCCCGCTGGACGCTGCAAGCTTATATGAGTCCATCAGTTTAACAAAGAAATTGATATGCACCAGGCTTGTTATCCCAAGGGGAGTCTCTGACAAACTGCAAACCAAACGCACTGCTTCAGGTAGAACAAACAAATAGATTTATTAACTAGATAGATTTGAAGTGATTATAAGTCAAAGCAGAGCAAGTCGGATTTGGTCAAAAGGAAAGAAAATATAAGCACACAGTGTAAACTCTCAACCCTATTAGACTGGGCAACATCTAGATTAAGCCGTTTTTTTTCACCCCACTTGATATTGCAGTCCTTAATATACAGGTTTGTTCCTTAAACCTGGGCCAATCTCCTCTGTTGGAGTCTTGTCTTCTTCTCAGTGTCTTAGTTGCTTGCTGCATAGGTGGGGGTAGGAGAAGGGCCCAGTATGTGTCAACTCTGTTTTATACCCCCAATCCATGTGCTTGGGGAGCACAAGTCCAGGCATGTCTGGGGGCAGTGCTGAGTCTCCAAGCAAGGTTGAGCAATTCCTCTGGTGGGGCCTCATGCAGGTGAGTCATTGCATTGCTGTCCCTTGCTGGACAATGGCTGGTGATGGGTTGTTTGACACCCTGCCCGGCTGTTGGTTTCTTTCCTTGCTGTTGTCTCTGGGGAGCTAATATCTGGTTGATTCCCCAACTTACAGCCTGCTTTAGTGACCACCATACAACACAATTCTCATAACGTCATATGCATGAATGATACACATCTGTGGCTAGAGAAATGACTTTCAGCAGATCATGACCTTTCCCCGGAGACCTTACAAGGCCTGCTTTATATGTGAGGTCACGATTATATGAAAATGAGGACTAGGGGGGTTACAGCACGCTGCCCCAAGGTACAGTATGTCACAGAGGTGTAGTTCGATCCAGCTGTTCGGACTATAGATGAGCAACATGAGGCTTCAGAACTACAACCCCCATGTGGCACTGGGGTGACATTTCCAAAATGAAATATTTCAGTTTTTGACTTTTTTTTGGCCCCAAACTTGACATTTTCTGGGGAACCTCCCCTCCCCAATGCACGTGCACACCCATCACACGTGTGCACACCCATCACACGTGTGCACACCCCTCTCACACGTGTTTACACACATGACACGTGTGCACCCATCATTCACCTGCAGCCAACCAACCAACAATGCACCTGGACTACAATAATCTCTAACATCTTTGAAAGCATCCCTGCGTTTTACGCTGGTTGAAATGTACAAGGCTATGTTCATAACGGGAAGTGTGTTTGTTATCTTTAACCCACTGGCAGCAAGCATTCATCTGATCCTTAGCAGAGGAGCTCTCAAATGGAATTTCCTTTATTCTCAGCGCTTGTGCTGTCTGCAGACCGGGCAGCATACATCAAGCAAGATTGTGTATGACCGTACTGTATAAATAAGTGGCACTGAATTTCGATAGTTGGTCTTAATGACTTTATGACACAGACTTTTCTTTACTCCTCAGTGCAAAATAAATACTTGTTGCAGCCACATTCTTTGAAGTGCTTTGTGTGACGGGTTGGTTCACAGAAACCCCCTTGGGACTGCCACCTGATGTTCTGAGACTACCTCTGAGCCCGTTTTCCCTGCTAGCTTGGGACTTCAGAACCCTGCCTTGTTGAGCCAGACACGCCAGCCTGCTACAAACATAGACCCCACATCCCCCAAAGCTGCAGGCTTTAACTGAAAGCCACTTAGCAGGTATTCCTGTCTCCAGCACCCAGATACCCAGTTCCCAGTGGGATTGAAACCCCCAATAAATCTGTTTTACTCTGTATAAAGCTTATACAGGGTAAACTCATAAATTGTCCACCCTCTATAACACTGATAGGGAGATATGCACAGCTGTTGGCTCCCCCAGGAATTAGTCACTAACTCTGGATTCAATAATAAGCAAAAGTGATTTTATTAAATATAAAAAGTAGGATTTAAGTGGTTCCAAGTAATAACAGACAGAACAAAGTAAGATACCAAGCAAAATAAAACAAAAACACGCAAGTCTAAGCCTAATACATTAGGAAACTGAATACAGATAAAATCTCACCCTCAGAGATGTTCCAATAAGCTTCTTTCACAGACTAGACTCCTTCCTAGTCTGGGCCCAATCCTTTCCCCTGGTACAGTTCTTGTTCCAGCTCAGATGGTAGCTCGGGGATTTCTCATGACTGGCAGCCTCCTTTGTTCTGTTCCATCGCCTTATATACCTTTGGCACAAGGCAGGAGTCTTTTGTCTCTCTGGGTCCCCACCCCTCCTTCTAAATGGAAAAGCCCCAAGTTTAAGATGGATTTCAGTACCAGGTGACATGGTCACATGTCCTGTGAGACCCCAAGCCCTCATTCTTTCCGGCCTGACTCACAGGAAGGCCTGCAAGCAAACAGAGCCATCCACAGTCAATTGTCCTGGTTGAGGGCAGCCATCAAGATTCCAAGCCACCATTAATGGCCCACACTTTGCATAATTACAATAGGACCTCAGAGTTATATTTCATATTTCTAGTTTCAGATACAAGAATGATACATTCATACAAATAGGATGAACACACTCAGTAGATTATAAGCTTTGTAATGATAGCTTACAAGAGACCTTTTGCATGAAGCATATTCCAGTTACATTATAGTCATACTTATTAGCATATTTTCATAAAATCATATGGAGTGCAACGTCACACTCTGCATCACAAGCTGATCTGAGCAGGGCAGCGTGGTGGCCAGGCCCCATTTAGGGGCAATTTATATCTTCTGTGATGACAATGCTCTCTCTCCCTTATTATTTATATTACGGTCACGCCAACCAAGATCAGTCATTGTACCAGATGCCATAAAACCTTACTGACAGTCTTTATCCTGCAAGATTTATAATCTAAATACACAAACGGCTTATTATCCTCATTTTACAGAGGGGGAAACTGAGGCACTGAGCAATGCGGTGACTACCCATGGTTACATGGGGAGGCTATGGCAGAGCTGGGGATAGACTACAGTCCTGTAACCACAAGGTCAGCCTCCCTCTCAAATGAAGTTTACAAAGCCTTTAAGCATGTTGACATGTCAAGTATCATCATTAGGGCTCAGAGTCAACATCCCAAGGGGTATTTTGGCTTGCATGACTCCAGAGACCACCACCACCACACCCACTATGCCAGCACTGGTTTACTGATTCAGTAGGACCTGGAGCTCCAGGTTCAGAGATCAGTTTGGAAGTGGCATGCACACCAAATGAATCCTGGGATATGGGGAAGATGGGCGGGGGGAACCTGTGATCCTTTGATCCCTCTTCTCCAGGTGCTCCGGGCCTCTGAGAAGTGTCCCACAATGCAGTGCAAAAATGACCTCGGTGAATTCTGGGATACAGCGCGGAGGCAACTTCCCCTGGTTTCTTGGAACTATCCCACAATCTAGTGCAAAATTTACCCAGAATTCAGTGGGCCCTGGAGCACCTGAGTTAGCTACCCACAATGCAATGCGCCATGCACGGAGGCGCGGCTCAGAGATGAGGCAGCTTGCACCAGCGCTACGGAAGTGTGTGACTAGGCACACACAGCTGTGGTTTCACCACTGTGTGTGTTACCCAGGTAGAACTCCTACGAAGACCAGCCTTCAGCTGTGTGGATAATTAAGGGAGTTATGGGGAGACCTCTCTGTCTCCCAAACACACACAAACAGTGACAGGCTGATTTTGGGGGATCCCTCATCACATCCACAGCCTTCTGTCTCCATCTTCTTGGTAGCCCACTGCTATCCTCACTGACACGAATCCTTTAGCTTCCAGCCCACAAGGGTTAGAACCAGCGAAACTGGAATGAGAAAGAGCAGGTACCATCTCCAATCCACAGGCTCTGCAAACAGAGAGAGGAAGGAAATTTGTTCCAAGGCTGGCTACTGGAGGGAGGGGGGGTTTCTTTTACAGAAAAAGTTAATTTGCATCTCATGGTGCATGCCCTAACCTCCAGCCCTATTGGCTAGTCTGAGTTCTTGCCCCTTCTCCCAGAAATTCCATCTCGGACCGAGGCCCCCTCTTCCTGATCACTGTTGGCCATTGATACATTTCTCTGGAAAGTTTTGCAGCATCGGCAGTTTGCTCTAATAGCATCGCGAGATGGGGCAGTGCGGCCTCTGGCCCTCACAGAAGTTTCCGGATGATTAGGTGGGGACTGTTTTACGTTTTCATTCAGAGGCGTGCGTTGGATTGCTCTGCCCCGGACTGACCTGGGAAATTCCCCCACCCCTCACCAAACCCTCCGAGCAAACAATGATGCTGAGCTGAATTTACCCAGCACCGTCAGATGGAGCCAGGCCAGGCACGTCACATCCAGATCTTGGAACTTGTAGACTCCCCCATCCCCGCTGCGTACGTCCTGCACCGTGAAGTTGCCCCCGGACACGGAGACCTGCCCTTGGAAGGAACGCAGCAGCTTGTGTGACGTCCCGTTGATGAAGGTGTAGACGTGGTCCCATGTCGGCGTGGAATTGTGCATCTTGTAAAGGTCCAGGGTGGTGGGCAGGTGAAGTGGGACGTGCAAGGAGTCCCCGCTGGACACAGAACAGTGGGTGTGAGGGCAAACGCCAGCACCTAGAAGGGGGAGCAGACAGGGACCGGCGTGTGAGATAGAAGAGCTCAAGGTGGTAGGACTGTGGAACTATGAGTGGGAATGTGATGGAGATAGGCACTGGATACGCATGCAGAATACCCAAGCTCCATCTCCAGCTCTGCGCGGGGAGTGGAGTCTAGTGGTTAGAGCAAGGGGACTGGGGTCCAGGACTCCTGGGTTCTCTCTCCAGCTCTGGGTGGGGAGTGGGGTCTAGTGGTTAGAGCAAGAAGGCTGGGGGCCAGGACTCCTGGGTTCTCTCTCCAGCTCTATGAGGGAAGTGGGGGCTGGTGGGTTAGAGCAGGTGGGGGCTGGGAGCCAGGACTCCTGGGTTCTCTCTCTAGCTCTGGGAGAGGAGTGGGGGCTGGTGGGTTAGAACAGGTGGGGGCTGGGAGCCAGGACTCCTGGGTT